TTATTTTAATTTTAATTTATTTCGAAACCAACAGCGTTCTAATTAGTTAACATTAAACAATATTATTCTTATAATAAAGGCCAATAACAGGTTTCCTTTAATTACTAAGGCATAAGATACTACGGTCGTAATGATTAGTATCAGTTGGTATACACTCAATTTTACACTTATAACATTAAATGTTTGCATCTGTTCCCTCAGGCAATATGCACATTTGACAAGTCTCATACACAAATTCATAAACATATGTACATGCACACTAATAAAATCAGTAACAGCACACACTGCTCAACGGTACCAAACAAATAAACACGAATACACACATGTTGCTTTTTTATACACAAGAATAGCAGTATATTATTATTATTTTTACTCTACTATAAATTATGTTATGTTATGTTTGTTATCCAAGTACGATATTATAATTTATATATTATGAAGACGAAGATTTTTATTTAAAATCTGCATCCTATCAACCACGCGTTCTGCGCGTGAATAACCTGCATAGATAAGTAATAGAAAGATACGGGAACGTCCATCACTGGTAAAGCATATAGTCCTCGAGCAGGGTATGTTTCCGTGATTGGATGATAAAATCGGAAAAAATGGATACTAGGGAACAATACTTTCAGTACAAGTGAGATGTGAACGAGTTTACTCATATTAGTACTGTTGGGGACCAGAGAAGTCTTAAATTTGTTACCCTTGATAAAGGTACATAGAGGTCACATCCTTCATTGGATCATAGTGTGAACTTAATTTTCCTCCGTGACAATTCGGAGTCATTTTTAAAGTGACTTAAACGTAGACCTCAAGGTTGTGCGCACAACCCAAGGTATAAAATTACCTTGATATAGTATGATAAAAAAGTATATGTACCAATAATATGAAATTAATGTAATGAAAATGTAATATAATACCCAAGTAAATGGGAGGGGGGGCATATTTATAAAGAACCCGTGTGACAAAAATCATGAAATAAAATATAAATGAAGTGAATTAATGCCCTGATTCCCGATATCTAATAAAAAAATAAATATGTGATAGCAGCTTAACGCTGCTGTGTTTCGTATGGTAAAACATAACTTTTTAAAACGCTGTCATCTTTGTATTGAAATAGGAGGGCGTCATTTTGAAAAAATCTTTTTAATTCTTTATTAAATCCTCGCTTTAATAAAGAATTAAAATGATTAATTTTTGACAATTTTTTTTGTTATCATACAAAAATAAGCCCAAATGACCTAATGAATAAATTACACCTTATTTCTTTAAATTTTTACAAATTATCATCTTATTATCATCTTTATCGGTCAGTTTGTGTACATTTGAATGCAATCGAGAATTTTCCACTAAAATTTGCCGCAGGGATGGCAAAAATAGACAAAATAGAATACTAAAAGGAACAATGCTAGCTAAAGGTAAAAATATTAAGTAATAAAATAAAGTACCTACCTACAAGAATTATGAAAAACAAAAACAAAAGGCCTGAAAATCGAAAACAAAAGATATGAGAGTAGTGTTAGTATGAAAATCATTAACATGCAAGGACATGAGAACACTTAAAATGACGTAATAAGGGAATCCCTGAACAAAGCTAAATATGTGATAAAATGACAAGATGCATGACTAAATGGCTAAGATATCGGACGAATAAATTGTAATCCCTGATTTTGACAAATAAGTGTGCACACTTAACAATTCGACGACTTATACATATTATGTCTAAACTGAATGAGACCTATTATAACCTAACTTGACTTACTAGTAATGTGATTATTAGATTGGAAGTATAATTGTTTAGTTAGAATAGGAATATTATATTATGTAAAAAAAATAAAAATATATTTTTTTTTATTTCTTTTTGTCGGTGGGAGGTGTAGTGTAGCCCACATGAGTTATATATTGTTACGAGCTAGGGGTTCAAGACAATTAAAAACTGCCGATTGAATTACTACAATTGACACTTTAATTTATTTATTTATTTATTCTTTATTGCATTCCTTAATCTAAAAGAATACAAAGGGCGGACTTAATGCCTAGTGGCATTCTCTACCAGTCAACCCATGGAGTGGTGAGAATTTGAAGTAGGTGTAGCAATATAGAATAAAAACAAAATAGAAATGTATAATTAATTACGTTATATATACATTTTACTAATATATAAAATAAATAAACTATAAAAATATATCCTATTTATACATGTATACAAATATATACGTACATACATAAGCATACATTTATTCATACCAACATACATATACAAATAATACATATAAATAACTATAAATATATACGTCTAAAATATAAATGACATGGACGATTCATCTAAGAAGCATTGTCTTTAACAGATGATTACGCACCAACTTTTTAAAAGCAAACTTATTGGGAGCTTTTCTGATGTCGTCAGGCAAGGAGTTCCAAAGGCGTGCAGCCTGCACTGTAAAGGAGTTACCATAGAACTCGATGAAGTGAACTGGAATACATATTTTGTTGTTAGAAGACGAAAGTAGAACCCTATCATGAGATGAGGAGAGTAAGTGAAATTTACTCTTAAGATAAGAAGGCGAAAATGGGTCATTTAATATGGAAAAAAGAACAAGTAATATTCTGGAAATACGCCTCTGCCGGATTGTAAGCCAATTAAGCTTAGATCTATATTGCGAAATATGGTCATACTTCGAAGCCCGAAAATAAATCTTATACAGTTATTGAGAAGGCGTTCCAGCTTGTTCAGAAGATCCTGGGACAGATCCGGGTAACACACATCTGCATAATCAATTATGGGTAATATGAGTGATTGGGCAAGCATGATCTTAGACTTTGTGGGGAGAAAATGTTTTAAACGATACAGAGTACGTAACGTAGCAGTGACTTTTCGACTGACTTCAGTAACCTGAGTTCTCCAATTCAGCGTGCTGTCAATGTGTAGGCCAAGATTTTTTACAGACTTACTGAACTGTATTGTAATCCCATTGTAGTAGATAGAGGTTATGTCTGCAAGATTAATCTTGGCTAGCATCCTTGAGCTACCCACCAGTATAGCTTGGTATTTTGAAGGATTGACCAATACTCCATAACGAGTAGACCAATCCTTGATAGCTTGTAAGTTGTTATTTAATTTTTTAATCCCATTATGGATATCCCCAATTTCAGTTTGCACGTATAGCTGAAGGTCATCGGCATACAGATGGTACGAGCAATCGAAGATGGAGGTAATAAAGTTTATAAAAATAGAAAAAATTATAGGAGAAAGAATACCGCCTTGCGGTACACCAGCTTCCACATCAGCCCAAGCTGAGGTTATTTGCCCCACAAAAACTGACTGCTGTTGACCGCGAAGATAAGATGCAAACCATTCCAATGCTGTAGGGCCAAAATTTAGATGAGACAGTATGGATACAAGGATTTCATGATTAACTGTGTTGAAAGCAATTGAAAAATCAACTAGTACCAGTACTGTTACTTTTTTTCTTCCATACCGTTTCTAATATCGTCTGTGACGTTAATTAAAGCAGTACTCGTACTATGACCAGGGCGAAACCCAGACTGATATATACTCAGTAGGTTAAATTTCGAAATGAATGTAGAAATTTGCTTGTAAACACAGGATTCTAAAATTTTGGAAAGAAAGGGTAGAATGGATATAGGGCGAAAATGATTGGGAAGAATGGGAGAAGGAACTTTTGAAAGGGGCTTTATAAAAGCCCTTTTCCAAAGATTAGGGTACTGACCTGAATCAAGGGAAAAATTTATAACATGGGAAATTGCCGGAAGAAGGAGCTCTAGTATAAATACTACCATTTGTCTACTAATCTCATCATAACCCACCGCCTTGGACTGAATTGCTAAAATAGACTTTTTGACATCATCCTGCGAAACAGGAGAGAAATTAAAGGTAGGTATATTAGGAATTTGCACAGAAGCAATAGAAGCCACAGTTTGAGAGCGAATTGTAGGGTCCATTGCTGTTACAGAAGCGAAATGTTGGTTGATTTCATCAAGTGATAAAGAAGGACCACAATCCAATGTAGCTGGCCTGCAAAGACCAGAAGATCTAAGAAATTTCCACACTTCGGCGGGAGAAGAGTTGTTAATACAATTATGGAAATATCGGCGTTTAGCTGCCCGTACCATTTGATTGCACCTATTCCTGGCTGCTTTAAAAGATTTAATTACAAAACACTAATTACATCTTAAAACCACACTAATAATAAAACACAATTGTACTACTGATCACTTTAATTTCACTTCGATGTATTCGCTTATATCGCCAATTCAATACTAACTCGGTTGTGGTCTATACCAGACTTATATAGGGCCTTAGATAGATTCCAGAACCTTTTACTGTAGAAACATCTACAATTTTCAAGTACATATCGGTCCAGAAATTTCCAGAAGGATCTTGACACTCCTAGTTCTGCTACTCGTCACTAGAGGGCGCTAGTGGTAGCTAGTGTTGCCATGTACAAGACATTTATAGTGGCGCGCAATACTGCCCCCTCCTAAGACATGCTCGTCCCGAGCATTATTGGCCCCATAATAACACGACATGGACGATCTTAGGAGTACCTCTGGCACCTTTCTGTATCCGGTAGTTTACGTCATTGATCCTTGTCACAATCCGGTACGGTCCGTCCCATTTAGCTTGAAGCTTAGGAGATTTCCCTTTGATGCGAACTGGTTTGTGTAATCACACTAGTGAACGTTAGTGAAACCCTTTGTTGTTTTGCGGTCATACCGTGTTTTCATCTTCTCAGACGTTCGCTGGCCCGACTGTCTGACGTGCTCATAAATGTCATTCATTTTGTTCCGCAAGTCACTTGCATAATCGCTTATACTGCGTGGGGCATCAGGTGGCATTCCGGTGATTAGGTCTGCAGGCAGCCGTTATTCTCTCCCAAAGTTTGCGAAAGCTGGTGTCACTGATGTACTTTCGTGAACAGCGCTTCGATTGAGAACAAAAGCGGTTGTATGTGCCTGTCCCAGTCTCGTTGCCGTTTTTACACAACTTTTGCTAGGTACCTCTCCAATGTCTGATTAATTCGTTCTACCATTCCATCAGATTGTGGGTGGAAAGAAGTTGTTCTTGTTTTATGAGTACCCATAACTCGGCAAGTTTTCTGGAATATTTGAGACTCAAAATTCCTTTCCTTATCGCTGTGAATCTCAAAAGATACTCCAAAACGACAGAAGACTTCATGAAATAGTTTATCTGCAACTGTTGAAGCTTCTTGATTTGGAATGGCTAAGACTCCTGGCCACTTAGTGAAGTAATCCATCACAACCATGAAATACTTGTTACAATTTTCACTTTCCGGTAATGGCCCCGCAACGTCAATGGCTATCCTCTCCCATGGTGCACCAACATTGTACAATTTCAATGCGCCTCTACTACGAGTTTGAGGTCCCTTTACAGCCGCACAACTTGTACATTGGCGGCACCAATCCTTTAAATCGTTACAGCAGTTGACCCAGTAAAACCGTTCTCGGATCTTCAGTAGAGTTCGTTTAACTCCCAGGTGGCTCCCTGAACAACCATTATGGTACAGCTGTAGAACATCCGGTACTTTAGCCTTAGGGACAATCATTTGCAAATGACAACTGTCTCCCGACCATTTTCCGATTTGTTGCACATTATTCCATCCTGAATCAGTAAGCTGTCCCATTGAACCCAATAGCTTTTCGTGATCGAACTCATTGCTAAGACGTCACTCCACTTGGGCTTAGGAGCACTGGCCTACAACCATTCCAGAATGAGCTTGATGTCCGAATCTTCCTGATGAGCATGTTGTAGGCTGTCCTTACACTCATTGCTGAGCTGGTCTGTCCTGAGCATCTTCACAGATACCACTTTCTTACCCTCATGCCTAGTACAATGCTTGCAATCTTCAGGGCAAGGTCTTCTTGACAATGTTTCAAATTCATTGCCATGAGATTTCCCGCTGCGATGGTCAATCACAAAGTCGTATTCCTGCAGTAGTTCAATCCATCTCGCAATTTATCCTTCCGGATTTTTGAACTACAATAGCCATTTCAGTGCAGCATGGTTATTTCGTAAGTGAAATTTCCGTCCCAGAAGCTATTTGCTGATGTGCTGCAAGGACTTTACCACAGCAACCAATTCCCGTCTTGAGACACAATAGTTCATTTCCGACTTTTTTTATAGTATGAAGGTGACAAACGAGCACACTGGTGGACCTTATAGTAAGTGGTTGCTGTGGCCCATGGACATCTACATCTATCTTCGATTACGGATGAAAATGCAGATGCGTTGTCACCTGTGAGGACTAAGATGGAATGCCTCGTTTCCAGTGAAAAGGGTCTCCGGTTCTCTACAATCACCATACAAAACACAGAAGTGTCAAGCTGCTATTTTACGCTGGTATTCTGTGAGAGCGTGGTCCTTCCTCGGTCGAGCCGACCCATTCGTGCTACAACCATAATATAGCTGCAGCGTGGCTCTACCACGTATTAAAAACGCTTTGACAACGACTGGCTGAAATACGCTATTACAACATCTTGATCATTATTTCGTTGAGACAACACACTGCCAAGTCCTCTATCACTTGCGTCTATGTTAACTATTAATTTCTTGCCCGCATCAGGGTACCCCAAAATAGGTATTTTGCACAGGCGGTCCTTGAGCTCCTGGAATGCGATATCGCAACTTTCATCCCAGCAGAAATGTCGCTTCTCCTTGGTTAGCTTGTGCAGAGGTTTGGCTATATCTGCAAAGTTCTTCACAAATTATTTATTTATTATTTTTTTTTTTTTTTAAAAACGTTACTCCCACACTAGGATTTTCTCCTGTATCGTGGAGGCAGTTTACAAACACAAATTGCACAAGGACAAACATCCAGACCCGGAACAATTATTTGTAGGCCATACAAATACTTGTTCCGTGCGGGATTCGAACCCGCGCCCCCCAGCGCAGCAACTCATTGCTAAGCCACTACGCCACGGAGCCGTCAAAATGCCGATAATAGGAGCACAAATCCAAAAATGCTCTAACCTGGGTCTTGTCTTTTAGAACCGGCCAATCCTTGACAGCGGCAATTTTCTCTGGATCCATGCGGAAACCATCTTCCGACACTACAGACCACTAAAAGCTAACTAGCCGTTTGAATAGTGAGCATTTCTTCGGACTCAACTTGAGGTTGGCACTCTGGATCCTCATGAACACGTGTTCCAGGTTTTGAAGGTGTCCCTCAAACGTACGGCCTAAGATGATGATGTCATCTAAGTAGACCAGACAGGCATCGTCAATTAGTCTGGTAAGTACAGGCTCCATCAACCTTTCAAACGTTGCTGCAACCGTTATTTCTAAAATACCAAATGCCGCACTAGCTAATATTGTCGAATGCACTTATACAGATTCTGAGTCAAACACAATGAGTCCCGGGAAGGCTATCACACAAGGAATGCGCGTTTCAAATCCTACACAGTATATTTACTAGACGCGTAAACTATTCCGCGTTCCCGCACAAAATTGACAGCGTGCTGACGTTAGCACAGCTTGCAGACAACTCCTCTTTGCGGTCGCGCGCTCTCAACACCCACCACTCGACCGACGTCAAACCCGGTATCAAGCTGAGTCGAGTGCCATCTGGCGTCGATTCTTGACATTAGCATTGGGCGCGAACAATGGGTTTGTGAGATCGAAATCCTTAGGGCTCTTTTAACATCAGCCAGTACGCGCCTCACAGTCCTCGATTTTACTCGTTTCCCTGCTGCCGCTGGGCGGTGCTATTAGCCGCACTACCCTCTCGCGATCGATCACCTGCCCTTTCTACAGATTGCTTAGGGCAGCTGGATCGAAGATGGCCACTTTCCCCACAGCCGTAGCACCTAGGGCTGTATCCTTTATTACGGTCGCGTACTGTAGCTTCTGCAACCTCCCTGACGCGATGGAAACGATGACCCTGCCGCACGACTTCCACCTCCAGTGCATGGGTCAAGGCGTCCTTAAGCGTCTCTTGGTGCCCGAACCTCACAGCAGCTCTGACTTCAAGGTCGCGGATGCCGTCATTTACTGGAACAAACACAACTTTCTCATCTACTTGCTTTTTGTGAACATAAGGTAACGAAACTACCTGTCCACAGTGATCAGACCTTAATTTTTGAATTATAAATTTATGCAACGGTTTCACATTTGTAAAAATGTTATCTATACATGTTGCACTAGATTGAGCAATACGCGTTGGCTCTAAAAATAAATTAAAAAGACCATATGATTTAAACAATGATCTAAATTTAATATTGATTGAGGAAGCTTCTAGGAGATTGATATTAAAGTCTCCACATATTACAACAGATTTATTCGTTTATTAAACTTAGCAAAAACTTCCTCCATAATTTTTTCAAAAGTATCGTATATAGAACATGGGGGTCTGTAGACGCTCACAACAATGAGGTGCTCAAACTCAACACATGCCATTTCTAAAGTTCGCTCAACAGAGAGACTCACAATATCTTTACGTTCTTTACATGACAATAATTTATTAGCTATTAAGGAGCCACCTCTTAAAACCGTTTTTCTATTGAAAGAACTGACCACCTGGTGATTACTGAAGTTAAACATTAAGTTATAAGCTTTTAACCAATGTTCAGTAATAGATAAAATATGAATATTGTTGCTATTTAAGAACAACTCAATTTCTAGCTCTTTGCCTATCATGCCTTGTATATTTTGATGCACCAGGTGTAAACAATTTTCATTATTACTCTGTGGAGTCATACAATTAAAGATTTGTAAGCTACATTCTAAATTATTTAAATTATTACAACCTTCTAGAGATTACCTCTATTGTCTCATTTTCTAATTTAAATTACTTGGAACTGATTCCAAATTACATTAAGTCATTATACTGCTCAAAAGGAGCAGATGTCTGTGTAGCCAAGTCCTTGGCTGAGTTAATATATAAACAATAAGATAGCACATTTGCTATCTGTCTTAAAATATATTTAGATAATACCTATCTCTAGTCAAAAATTTCTTAATTAAATTGTTTATGTCTATTAAATTAAATTTATTATTATAATTATAACAATTAATTGTCAAGTTTAAATTATTATTACATGAAAAGTTATTCATTAATAAATTTAAATCATATCTTATTTTATTTTCCTGCGGCCAACCCTGTATGTAAGGCAATGTAAACAAGATAATTTTATGTACATTTAAAGTATTAAGATTATCAATATATTTTAATAATTGATTTTTGTTTACATTGCCTCTTCTCCCAACAATAATTATTAATGTGCTATTAGGGCAAAATTTACTAGCTAAAACTTTATTCATTATATATGACTAAGAGTTGCTCCTGGCATGCAATAATTAGTGATCATATGTCCTTTTAAACAGTTTAAACAACCTTTCAAACACAATTCTCTCGTTAACAACGTTATAAAGATCGGGAGTGTGTCGACGAGGGTTGCGTACCTTATACTCAGAATCACCAAACGGTATTCGCTAAAGGTAATACAGGCTTACGCAACAACCTCGGCACATCCCGATATGGAGGCGGAGAAAATGTATGAGGATATATCTAGAGCCATGCATTACTCCAAAATTAACTAAACGGTCTCAATGGGAAACTTCAACGCAAAACTAGGCACAAGAGAGAACGGTGAGCTGAAGATAGGGAAATTTTGAATACGGCAACGGAACCCAAATAGGAAGCAGCTGGCTGACTTCATGGAGAAGGAGGGACTCTTTATGATAAACTCTTTCTTTCAGAAGCGGCCCCATAGAAAGTGGACCTGATCGAGCCCCTACGCTTCGAAAAAAAATTAGATAGATTTCATTATGATGACCAAACGACAAATGTTCAATGATGTCTCAGTGATTGTGAGGTAGAAAACCTGCAGCGATCTCCGAATGGCCAGAGACACACTGTACCTAAACGTTAAGGTGAAGAGGTCACGTCTAATGAATTAAACGCTCCGTTCCCCTCGTGTTCTAATCCAAAGTCCCGAAACCTTTTAGCTCGAGTTGCAAAAATCGTTTTCAGTGCCTAGAAGATTGCAATACAGTGAACGATATGAATGACAAGCTCGTCGAAACTGTCCATGCGGTCGGAGCTAAGTTTTGCAAAACCCGCCGCATAAGAACACAAAATCTCTCTAACCACAGTCTTAATGCCATGGCTGCTAGACGGCAAATGAAGTTGCAGTCTTCAGTAGATTCGATAGCATACAGGCAACTAAACATACTGATCTACAAATGCATGCGTTGGGACTTACACAACTTTGATATTCTTCGTATTGAAGAAGCGATCGAGTAGAACCAAGGCTACAAATTGTTTGCTAGAGATCTGTCTGCCAGAAAAAGCCAACTGTCGAAGCTGGAGATCGAGTGTGGCAGCGTTGTTTCAGGGACAAATTTTGAGTGAGAATGAGAGGTTCTATGAGCAGCTGTAAACAAATATTCAGTTGATGTTCCGGACATCAGTTTGAGTGAAATTAAAATGGCTCTCTAGCACCTTAAAAACGGCAAGGCTCCAGGCGAGGATAGAATTACAGCGGAGCTTCTGAAAACGGGTGGAAAACCGGTACTTGAAGTCCTTGAAAAGCTTTTTAATGCCGTCCTACATAGTGGGAATACTCAGGAGGCGTGAATCAGAAGTGCGGTGTTCTTGTTTTTTAAGAAAGGCGACAACGCTCT